GTTGCATTCCTTTAGCACTTTCTTTCGCATTTACCACGGGGAGTGCACTGAGTAATTGTTCGGATTAATCCCAACCGCTAAATTTCACGAACACACCTCGCTGCAAAACTTCCCATATCATCTAGACTATGTGGACCTTTAAGAAAAGAGTTTACTCCTTTTTAAAAGACCTGCAACTACCCCACTGTAGCAGGTGTTCATCGGCGGCGGTAGTCACTTACCATCAGGTGAGCCGTATGCTCGTTTTCCCCTCTCCTATAAAAAAAAGCTGATTTAGTATTACACGTCTAAGAAAAATAAAAATATTTCGAGGACATAGTAAAGTCGTTACGGATTTTTGCATGCTATAAAACCTTCACTATAACGAGAGGAGGAAAAGCCATTCAAAGTTTGTATAATCTCTATATATAAAGCTGGCCAGGCATTTTTATATATAAAGATTACGTGTCACGTTGTTTGTCCGCGATGAACTCCTAAACTACTAAACTGATTGCAATGAAATTTTGCACACTGTGTGCAGTTTGGTCTAACTTGAGAGATAAGATACTTGTTATCCTGATAAATGACCCTCAAAATTTTTTATTGCTAATCTCAGGAGTTTTTTTTTTTTTTAGGAAATCAAATGGTCGTCGAAAAGGGTAGAACAACGTCTGTCTGGTCAGCTAGCACTTATATAATTTATAACAATTTGTATCAAGTTGAAACCTACTGAATTTTAATTTCGAATAAAATAATATTTATGGAGGCGCCGGGTATCGATCCCGGTACCTCTCTCATGCTAAGCGAGTCCCCGGTGATAGTCATGTTGCAAATATGCGTTATTTCAATTTCTAACAAAAGGCGTATAAAGTTCAAAAACTTGATCACTGTTCACATAGTGCAACCGCTCACGAAATTTAAAACGACAAAATATGATATTATTAAACTATTAAATATATCACAATTGTAAAGATAGTAATCAAATTTGAAAGGATAATATAATTGACCCCTACCACAGGCTATGTGATGCAATATAGATATAATCTTTAAATTGAACATTTGTTAAATACCCACATAATTTACTGGTATTAATACAATTTAGGACAGAATTGGTAAATAGATAGTGTTGATTTCGCAGATGACATTAGTGTTCAAAGCTCAAAATGTAACGTTATTAAAGAATGAACCGGTCACAGCGTAAAAAATAGGTTACTTAAAATTGTCTAAATTGTCTATTGAAAATGTAGTGGGTGGAAGGAACAGAGGAGATCTCCCGCCGGGCAAGGTGTTCTGCCCGGGGAGCGGCCAACGCTCCGAGTGGTAGTTTGGAGCTATTCTATATAATATAGTATATAATATAGTATATTATACTGCTTTAACTTCGGAACTTTGTTAATGCGATTTAGGCTTCGATGTGTAACGCTTGTGGCGCGATGACAGCGCCGCCACAAAAATAATATCCGGAGCGGCATCAGAGGCAGCTGAACTGAGTAAGTGGCGCAAATATGAGTCTCTGAGAGATGACTACATATTTGTGCCATTTGCTGTAGAGACTATCGGTACCGTGGGGTCTACGTGCGGTGAAGTTCAGGAACTCCATCCACGGCTGGTCGTTGCTGCTGGTGATAAGAGCGCTGGTTCTTTTCTCGCTCAAAGGCTAAGTATAGCCATTCAGCGGGGAAACGCAGCCAGCGTTCTTGGCACGATACCGAGGGGAGTAGGACTATATGATAATTAAGTTTCTAGTTTTAGTTTTTTTTTTCATTATTATAGTTTTAATATTATATGTAATAAAATATTATATATTATGTTATTAAAAATTGATTAACTCGAAAGTTAATTTTTGACGGCCGCATAATAAGGTAAAAAAACATATAAACACATTGTTGCTTTTACGATACTTTATTGCATGTTTAAACAATTTATCAAAATAATAACTGTAAATCTGCCTCTCAAACCCAGTCTGCCGACTTACTTACTTTGAGGAGCGATGTTGAACATCGCTCCTCAAAGTAAGTCGTCATTCTGCACTGACCGACCAAACTTTTCTTTGCTAATGACAATTAGTTTTATTGTCGCCCTTATGTTAGTTTTGTCTACAGATCTTTGTCGGCTTTTCTAATTCAACCGCAGCTATCCATGTTAAACATCAATAAAATAACCCTAATAAAACCTTTTAATAAAAAAATTATAGAAAGAAAGTTTTTTTTATAGGAGAGGATGACAAACGTTCGTCGACGCCCGATCCTAAAAAAAAAAAAAAAAAAAAAAAAGGTTTTGGCATGCTCTGATCACGAATCCGCGGTTCATTTTTGTGAAGAATGCACGGTTCCGGAGATGTGTAGATCAATTAGCTCATATCTAATTGATATCCGGTAAGGGCCTCCACCGTCATTAGCGTCCCATTGTTCCTATTTCTATTGTTCTATTGTTCATTAATCACCTTCATTGCAGCGTGTGCGTCGACTATATCAGTGCTATTGTATTATATTTCTTTGTTTATACAACGTTAATCTGAATCATCAATAAAACACATTACATAATTTTGTTACAATTTTTATTTATAAAATACAAAATCTTATTAATTATTATCTATAAAATAGGAGCGAAACATCTCATCCACTAAAATATCGTTGTACAATGTGTTCCTTGTAAATATACTCGTAAAACTATGTATTGAACATCCTTGAAACTTATATAGTAAATACATTAAGCAATATTCGCCACAAACTGAAGTCCACTCATTCTGAATCCTATCAACATTCCAGTTCCATCTTTTACAATTCCTTTTTAAAAACTCTAGATGATATCGTACAGGTGATCGTCCATATGAATCAAAATATTGACCGACGTCATTCGTATCGATATATAAAGCTACCCAATGTGACCCTGGTTTATCATCTGTATCCAAATTACATATTATATACGTTGGTACGTGGGTATACATAGGCAGTCTATTAGCTGCATAAACATTATTTTCTAGACTGGGGTGAATCTTTTTCAGATGTTGTTGTACATCTAGTGTATCCATGATATTACTGCTATTAGTAGATGATTACAGTACCAATCTACTCAATGAATAACATAGGAATGGTCAATTATAGTGATTTCTACATATTAAATTGCATTTTTGTGTTATACAAATCGTACTTGAGTCATTGATCACCAAACAAAACACAATACGAAGAAATGTTGAGATAGGCAACGGAAATGTGAGATAAACTGATATGTTTCTAAATATTAAATTGCATTTTTGTGTTATACAAATCGTACTTGAGTCATTGATCACCAAACAAAACACAATACGAAGAAATGTTGAGATAGGCAACGGAAATGTGAGATAAACTGGTTGACGCATAAAGTAATTATCAACTCATTACGGAAATACTTTAGATTAGAATTTTTACGTACTGGTGGTATATAAGACCAACAAACGCAGTCATCGAGTTAGTGTACGGTCGTTTGGCTACAGTGGATCTATCAATAGTACATTTTGTGTTACTTCAATACACCAAAGGCTATGGATGTAAGTGTTTATTCTATTGACTAAATTACTTTTTTTCTGTTATTTTCATGTGTGTGTATTATTTTATTTAAATATTGTGTATGTATATGATTAAGCCGTGGTAACTCAGATGGTTAGCGCTAGCTGTAAATTTCACAGTACGCGACCCGGGTTCGATCCCCGCCAGCACCAATTAAATTGTTAATAGCAATTTTAAGTGCTTATTACCACGTGCTTGGTGGTGAAGGAAAACATCGTGAGGAAACCTGCATGTCTGAGAAAATTTCGAAGGCATGTGAAGTTCGCCAACACACATTGAGGGAGCGCGGCGGACATTTCCTTGCTCTAAAACCCTCTCAGAAATGAGAGGAGGCCTATGTTCAGCAGTGGACTTTAATAGGCTGTAACTTTAACTTTTTTAACTTTTATGATTAAGTGTTAACAAATTGATATTAACATGATAACTGTGTTGTTGCAGAAATCATTGAGCTTCGATGAAGATACCTATAAACAGTATTACTACTCGCCACTCTCCCCTCAAGAAGAGAGTGATAACCTCGTCATTAATAATAACACATGCGATGGTGGAAAAAGAAAATCGCAATCGATTGATCATTTTTTTGAAGCTGAATCAAAAATAAAAAAGAGGAAGCTGTTATCATAAACCGTAGCACGAGCCGCTAGAGATGGTGTATCATACATTTCTACTAATTCTGACGACGGAGACCAAGCGACGCATCTCATCAAAATTGAAATGTACGATATGAAGAAGCTATCCAAGATTCCAACTACTGATCATTGGAAACATGCTTCCACTAGAATTAAATATTACGTAAAGACTAATAAGGATAGCATCTACGACAACACAAACGCCCTCGTATACAATATAACAAAGACAATAGCAGAAAGTGAAAAAGTTAAAAAATACTTTTTTAACAATGACAGTCATTAGCTGATCATTAGTGAATGTGATTCTGTTTACTTCAATTACAGGAAGACAAGAGCGGAAGGAAGAGATGAGTGTGGCATACGTGTACAAAACACATCATTGAATAACAAAACTACAACACTGAGTGGAGAAGAAAACGAGAAGAGTATGCAGTACTCAAGAGCTGAATATCCATTCTTCAGTTCAAAATCTAGCCGTTTGCTTAGTTTCGAAAACTGGCCTCTAGTTATGCGACAGAAACCTGAAGATCTTGCCGAAGCTGGTTTCTTTTATACTGGCCATGCAGACGGGACCAAGTGTTTCCATTGTGGTGGTGGTTTAAAAGATTGGGAAGATGATGATGATCCTTGGCAGCAGCATGTTCAGTGGTTTAGTCAGTGTGCTTATGTAAAATTTCAACTCGAACAGTGTTTTGTATTAGATTAAATAGAAGATTTATAAAGAAATAAAAAAATATATTGCATACAATTTGTTTTATTTAATTTTATAACGTTTCACATAGTTACATACACACAAAATGCATTACACATAACACATAAAATCTAACACACAACACATATTATAACCTTAACTACTATAGTCTACAGTAACATTTCTGTTTTTATCTATCTCAATAATATTATCAAACTCAGCATAAACTATACAGTTAATTGTTTGTATTAATGAGGATTCAAATCGTACTTCTATTCTTACACTACCATGCTTTATGAGATTCCAATGAGTTGATGAGTTAGCTGATAAATCAGGAGTTAAGTCAAATGCTAATAGACAGTAACCTTTGCCATACTGTTCACAAGAGATTCCATTTCCTTCATTAAGAAAGTGAATACCAGTTCCCGAGAATAGAGTATGATATGCTGATGTAAATATGCTATTATTAAAAGATGGTTGCAAAGCTTTTGAAGGTATTTGTTGACCATCAATATATAAGCTGAAAGAATTAATACCATAGTTTTCAAAGTTAAATGGATTTTTAGTAAGGGAACCATTAAATGCAGAATTGTTCACAAATCCAATTATACATCTTTTCGGTACCTGTCCTAAAAATATATTATCAAGAGTTTTTCCTTGAACACCTGAAGGAATTGTTAAAACTTTTACTTCAGCTCGAGTAATAGGATATTTAGCAGTGGTAGAAGCTAAGACTTTTTGATGTGCGAGTAATACACTTGGATTAATTCGTGCTCGTCGCACAATAAGAGTTGCGTCCGTAATGCAAACTTTAAACTTTACATCGTTCGACCCAACAATTAAATTAAAACTCTCTCTTGATCGAACCAATTTAACACTCATTTCAACACCATTAATTAAAAATTTATCTTGGTTAAAAATGTCACCGTGAAGATGACCAATCATTTCTATTTCCTTACTTTCACTAATCAATTCCTGTCTTTTAACAAATCCTATGTTTTTACCATCTGTAGAATCCATTTTTCCTGCTGTATCCTCATACCAAAGGCTACAAGTAAGATGAGATTGTTTAGCAGCAGGGGCATAGTTTAAAAGGGTTTCCATGTATGCTCGATATGCATAGGTATTATTAGGTGGTGATACAAGTTTTTGGTTTAAATAAACATCAAGTTGACTAAAAAGTGAATGCAGCCAATTATTTACAGGTGCTACTATTGTAGTAGATACCAAGTTAGTTGAATCTTGATTTAATACTTTTGCCTTTATGTGGAGTAATGTATGAGACAAATCTATGTAGTCATCGCCGGTCCCAGGAACTTGAAACTCGATAGGTCCATCATCACCAAGAGATGAAATTGGTTTATAATGAATCCACAATCCATTTTCAATGCTAGTTTGTGTAGACGGTAGTGCAAACAAATCCAATTCTGACTTAACGCACTCGCAAGAATGATTATGAAGGAAAGACATATTTAGTTTGAAAATATATCTTTGATATTTTTTGGTTTTAGACTAAGTTTTTTCGCAGCTTTCACTTTAGCAGTTAATGGTGGAATGAACGATGTCAATCGTTTTCTTTTAGTTTTATACCCAGATCCAGTCATGTTAAATTGATCAATTTTCTCATCAGCCTTTCGTTTTAAATTCGTACTAACTTGCTTTAGACGATCTTTTATTGAGGCTTCCATAGGACGGGCTTGAACCATATCCGATAAAAGTCCTACTCCAGCGCTTAATGCCTCCTTACCAATCACTCGAGCACCACTTGAAAGTAAAGGTAAAACTGATCTGAATAACCCCCCTAAGAAGCTCCCAATACCATGACCGCGTTGATATGGTGAACCCTTATAAATTACTCCAACTCCTGATCCAGCTTGATGTGTATAATAATTTTCATATGGACATTTATGATGATCACGAAGAGAATTCATTATTATAATTTTCGGAAATGTAGTTTAATACACACGGTTCCAAACTGGAATGGTATTTTTTGTCCTGTACTCGATCTTATAACTATTTCCAACGTATCGAACTCTCTTCGCATAACAGGTAAGTAGTGAGGTTGAGAGAAAACGTGCATTTTATTTGCACCATAAATGTATTTTGTAGGATCTAATGAAATGACTCTTAATAAAGGGGTCATAACATCACCCACAATCTGAGGATCGATAATGTCGCAATATAGAAATAGTTGAGATGGTAACCCTAAGTGTAAATTAGCAGGACACTTTCCAAAATTTCTCTCTAGGAGATTTTTATTTGGTTCATAACCTAGCTGTAAACTTAATTTGGGTGATAATGTTACGGATGTTATATTTTTATCCAATACCGAAATAGACACAAATTTTGTTATTTCATCATAGCGAAATTTCAAGTTCTCTCCGATACCATTTAACACTCTTAAAATATGCTCAACGTTATCATAGTTGGTAGCTGGAATATGTTTTTTGTAGTACACTGTGGATGGCTTATCTTCATTAGGCATTAACATAGATTTTGTAATGTATATAACATTTTCATGGTCTTCAACAGTAAACATGGTACATGGATATTGAAACTCGACAACTCCAACCGACCATTCACCTTCTAATTTTATAGCTTTTGGTAATTTCGTTGAAAAATTTGTGGTCTTGTTATCAGGAAAGTATTCCATTGAACTATTGCTGAGCAAAGTTAAATAGAAACTTTCTTTATTCATATTTCTTTTAAACTAGAAGCTAAAATCCAACTGTTAAATTTATCTGGATAACCTTTCCACTTCACTAATACTTCTTTTCTGTTACTTGAATAACGAGTGTCAATTATTTTATCTATTTTATGTTGTGAGGTGGGGTTGTAAGTGATTTTCTGTAATTCTCTTTCATAAAAAGTACCAATTATTGGTTCATTTTGTAAATCTGTTATTGTATAAACAACCCATGGAGATCTATCAATTATTGAAGATATAATAAATATTTCATCACTCCAATTTGATTCATATCCTTTTTGGAATACATGTTTATATTTAGTTATTCGAACATAATCACCCACATTGAAATTTGGTTTAGGATTTTCTAAAGAAAGTTTTTTTGACCGTCTATCATAAAGATTAGTCCAAACTGACATAATATTGTTGGAATTTACATCACATGGGCACATCTTAATACTAGAGTGAAAGCTGTGATTATAAGAGTATATTAAATCTTGTAAAACATCTATATATCTATAAGTATTATTATGAGTGAAATAACGCCACATTTTCATTTTTAGTGTTCTTTGAAATCGTTCAACAATACTGGCCTTAATGTCAGGATTGTTAGTGGTATAGTAATTAATCTTTTTGGATTTAAAGTATTTTTGTACATCTTTTGAAACAAATTCTGTACCTTTATCGGATTGTATGTGAGTAGGTGTTAAATTACTTTCAGTAAATATACTTTCAAAACATTCTTTAGTTGTTTCTGAGTTTTTCTTTTTCATTGGTCTTGCAAAAGCATATTTACTAAATACATCAATAATACAAAGTATATACTTGAAACCATCATTATATTGAGAATAAGTTCGCATATCACTTAAATCAGCTTGCCACAGTTCATTAATATTTGATAGAATGTACCTATTACGCGGGAATTTTTTTCGAATGGGTTTATGTAATGTGTATGTTTCTTGTGATTTTAACCATTCCTTTACTTGCTTTTTATTCATTTTACCCTTCATGGCTTTTGATAATTTATCAATACTACCAAAACCAGCGGGATTAGATGGATCATAATAAATCCTGTTAATTTCTTCTAGTACGGAGTCCATTTTTCCCACTCAAGTCCTTTACGTATTTTAGTTGTAGACTTTTTATCTCTACTGCACGGTGTAGAAAACTCTTGAACTTCAATCTCAGAGGGTTTGTTCAGATCTTTTGCTTGAAGTTGGTTAATAAACTCACATCTCCTTGGATTTCCAATATAAGTAAGTGGTACTTTAATATCTTTTAATGCTTCAGCAAATCTAACCCACCCTACCGGATCACTTCTTTTTAGGGGTCTTAGTGAATCATTTATTAAATCAACAATATTACTTCCAGGAATTTTTTCACTATCAATTATGACTGTACCTTCGTTATCCCAATGTATTTTACTTTTACTTGTTTCAACTAAGTTTAATAATAACTGCCCTTTTTTATGATAAGTTTTTGGTATTAAACTGAGTATTTGAGTTGGTGTGTAAAGTGGATTTTCATCATTTTCTTTACTTTTAATGGATCGATTCTCCTCCAGCAAAGATTCAATATCAACTGAAGTTTTTAGATCTCTATCTTTATTTTTAAAACCAATTTTTGACTCATTTGAATCTTCATTAGATGTATCAGAATAAATTGGTAATTTGAGTGGTTGACGATCCTCTTCGGTAAAATGAAGGTATATTTGCAGTGTTTGTAAATATAATATCCATTTCTTTCGGTCTTCCGTCTTACTATTCATAATATTTTGCATTTCAATGAATCTTCATTAGATGTATCAGAATAAATTGGTAATTTGAGTGGTTGACGATCCTCTTCGGTAAAATGAAGGTATATTTGCAGTGTTTGTAAATATAATATCCATTTCTTTCGGTCTTCCGTCTTACTATTCATAATATTTTGCATTTCAATATCTAATCGAGATAAATTACTATTAACCTTATTTTCTTGTTTTAATTTTTCAATCAATCCAGGTTCGATAAGTATCATTTTCTTTGCATTTTCCATGTTAACTGGCTAGTCCACTCACTAATCCACTCAATATTGCACCTAATATTGTTGGTAAGAAAGCCCCTCCTTTTTGTATAATTATATTTTTTCTTAGTTTATGTTTACACTTACGTACTAGTTTACGGAGTATGTTTTTATGTTTATTCAATTTTTGTTTATCCTGATCTTTAAGAGGTACTTTTCCTTGTAAAACGTTATGAATACACTCACAAATACAGTTAATTTCTTCTTCATCACACGTTTTAAGTAATGCTCTTTGATATTTTGGTTTAAGCGTATGCAAAGCGGTTAGCAAATGTTTATACGTTGTGAGTCGACGATGCATCATTTAGCAATGATTTCAATTGTTTGATTCTTGGTGTATTTAAACTCTTTTGTGGGGACGTAGACTGTACAGAAACCATTAAATGGAAAGACATTTGTCTTGATACGACAAAAATCATTGGTATTCTGTTTTAAATCTACCATTAAATATCCATGCGCCTCTAGAGTTGCATCCCTGTAGGCATTTTCAATGAATTTTGGGTTATCTGGTGATACTTGTCTTGCTAAATATCTTATTTGAGTTTTATCTCGAGGGTTTTTAAAATATATTATATAACTTGAGTTTAAAGATATGTCTCTTTGTCCTTTACCCTGATGAAATAAATTTTGTGTTAGATAAAATACACTAAGATTCCTGTGATGACTACCTTTTGTAAATATATCCACAATTCTTCCATCGGACTCTCTCATTAGATCATCAATAATAACAAGATGTGGGTTTTCACCATCAAACATATTAAGATTTGGAATTCCTTGATGATAGTTAACATTTGGTAAATTATATAATGGTTGCATTTCATCAAAGCACCATGTGATCTGATTAAAATCACAATTACATATTTCTGTAACTGATTTTATGAAATTTGTTACAAAATTTGACTTCCCACACCCACTTGGTCCTGCCACAATAGCAGTGAACGGATGGATAAAGTGAAACATAACACACGTCTAAAGTTCAAAGGGGTGAAATAAAAAATGAAAGTGTTGGTGTAAACAATTAATATATATTCCAAAAATTATATAAAACAGAATTATCTGTATACTATTTCTAACACAATTAGTACATCATAATTTTACAATTAACTCAACCTCAAATAAATAGAAACAACAATTAGTACATCATAATTTTACAATTAACTCAACCTCAAATAAATAGAAACAACAATTAGTACATCATAATTTTACAATTAACTCAACCTCAAATAAATAGAAACAACAATTAACTTAAATTATTTACAATAAAACAATGTTTAAATATGTAATAAACTACGTCATATTATAGTATTATCATAATTTTACAATCAATATAAATTTTTCTTAAACGCAGACATAAAAGTAAAAACTATCAACACTTAACGCAGTTTATAATGACCCCAAGCTAATGTTTCAATATTATTATCTAAAATATGTCTCTTTGTGTCATTATATGATAAACCTATCTTATTTAATTTTTGTGTGAAAATTGTGTGTTTAATTGATTTAAATCTAAGCATACTATAATATTGCACTTTTTTATTAAATAGAGAAGACTTATAACTATTCATTGTCATCTTTTTAGTGATACATTTATTTACCCCTTTTGCCTTGGCTATAGTCTTATTCTCTAAGTTAAAAGCGTACATTTTGGATCGTAAACCCACAAATTCTTTCATGATTTTACCATTATTTTCATCTTTAAAAAAACCTAATTTCTTTTTATTTA